GGCGCAGCTGTGACCGAAGCAGCGAACCACAAGTCGCGTTTGAAACGCGCGTCCGGACGAGCAAAGTCCAGGGCTTGCACCCTCTCCCACGCGGCACGTTCACTGGCTCGAACGGCTTCGGGAACGTCCACTCGTCGTTGTAGATTGCGAGCGGCGTCTTGACGCCGGCCTCATCGCCCCTTCTCCGCCTGACGCTTGCGTTGTCGTTCCGCTTCTTGGGCCGCGTTCGCGGCTCGTTGCTGACGCCTCATCTCGGCCTCGCGAGCGCGCAGTTCACCATCCGCTGCACGCTTCGCCCGCTTGTCCTCGGCCTCGCGAGCGCGAAGTCGCATCCTATGCACGCTTCGCCCTGTTGTCCTCGGCCTCGCGAGCGCGCAGTTCGGCATCCGCTGCACGCTTCGCCCCACTTGCACTTGGCCTCGCGAGCACGCCATTCGGCATCCGCTGCACGCTTCACCCGCTTACGTTCGGTCTCACGAGCCCTTCGCAGCGCCGCCTTGTCTTCTAACGTCGGCGAAACCACCGCGGTATTGTCACCTCCAATGACGGGTGCAGTGCTGGCATTCGGTTGTACTGCATTCGTTGTTGATGGTAGCGTTCCCTCCGGGACATCCATCGCACGACCCACTCTCGACGGCAGACTGAGAGAGAAGGCGGTCGCGCGAGAGAGAGGGGTGGCGCAGCGCAGCTGCAGCGAGCGAGGAGAGCGGAAGAGTGAGCGAAGGGGGAGGGGGACGCGCGCAGCCGCGTTAAAGATATAAGGCGCGTTACTGACACCGATATCAGCGTCGCGTCCGTGGCTTATTCGGTAGAGCGTTGCGCTGCGGCCCGCCAAGTCCTCTTTCTTTTAAAGATAGAGAGAAGACTGCGACGCCACCGACGGCGGTGGATAGTTTGGGGATGCTTATAAAGTGTATTCACACCTAAAAGGGGCAGGGGTAGTAACAGGCTACCGGTCGACGCTTTTTCCGGGAGGGGAATGACAAGCGCTCGCTTTAGCGATCTGATTTGAGCGGGTCTCTCTATTTACAGGGTACCACGGCTACAATGGAGAAGTACCGGTCAGCTTTCCAAGTTCACGCACGAAGGTTAGTGACCTGTTTTTATCAGCTGGCCGAGAACTTGGTTACAACAACGGCGACTACAATGGTCCAAACCAAACAAGTAAGATCATAATAAATGCATATATTCTGTCTCACTGAGACGACTTGTACACACGGCGTACGGCATAAGTATGCCATAAGGGACTTCGGCACAATATTTTATGAAGCATCTCAACATTAGCGCTCGCGTACCGGCACGCTAAGCGCTAATACTTACGAGCAAGGACTGAACGTATTGGTATGTTTTCTCTCACCGCAAGTGAGAGAATGTCTCACTTTCGATTCTCAAGTTCGTAATTTATAGTGGACCACACGGCAGGCTCGCGACCATGTAGCTTTATTACGAGGATCTGATGGACTAGGTTTCTCAAGTTCAGTGCACCACGTAGTATTGATCATATTAAATAATAATAATACTAATTCTTCGGGTTTCGGGCGTAAAAGTTCCAGTCTAACTGTGAGGATGGAGGGTACAAAAAATTTGACCAATCGGGGTTCTGAAATGCTCACTTGACCTAAGTGCAAAGGTGCCAAATGTTTTTGACTTCATTGAAAAAGCGTTCGTGGCGGCCGTAATTGTGTGAGAAGTCAAGCACATTAAGCACTTTACGACCATGGTGGGCAACAGTGGACCCAGTGACCACAGTTTATGGTAAAAAAACCAAGTGGACGTATATTTATGATTTTAACGCAATATTTCAGAAGTAACTTACGAATTCGTTTGTTCTTCCCGTTGAGAATACCACACAAAGGGTCCGTTATATATAGCTGTATAAGTAAACATTGCTGTACAAAGAAATGAATTTATTGTACAAGCAAAGTTGATGGCAAGTATATTTACCCTCACTCTTCTAACTTTGCTACTATACATACCGTGAAAGAAGCATGCAAAGCTACTTAATCCGTTGATGCCGATCACTTTGATTAACACGAATGCGGCTATCTGTCATGAAAACTGTGGTTTGTGGGTGTGGTAGTTTATTGTTTGATGTTTTTTATGGTAAATGTATGTGTACTCGCATTATGCCAGCCTAGTTATCTAGCTCGGGTAAGTAGAAATATGTTAATACGCCGGTAATGTCGTCTGTCGCGTCCCGTATTTCAAGCAATGTGTTGACTGTTTTATTTGACGTCTCCGGTGTCTCCTTGAACAAACTGTTTACTGTGGTTTTGACACAGCTGCTTTGACATGTCTCATTGTATCTGCGCTAATGCGCCATTTTAAAGTCAACAATTTTTTGGGAAAAGTGGATGCACATGGTTCTCAAGAGTAAAGAAGTCCAACAAACCAAATAAAAACTACAGAGATAAAATACATTATTATTTAGAAAAACAATGTTGTGTTCGGATGCAGAATTATTATATATTTTGAACTCAGTCACTATGGACATCTTGCATTGAGACTATAATGAGGCCAGCTGCCATGCTAACCGAATATTTCATCATTTATTCACAGAAGGCCCCAGATTAGGCAAGGTTTGTTCTTAGAGTGTCGATGTAGAGCGTTGTTTGTAAACCTGCCGTTTAGGGCATTTCTTCATATCACATCGCTTTTTCAGAGTTTCGCTTCAGAATTGATTCGAGGCATTAAACGAGGTAACTGGCGTTATCATTGGCATAATAACGGTGATTTTACTAGTATCATTAAAAAGTGTGCATTGGAAGTTGGAGGTATATTCACTAGACAGGACACTGGTAAACTATTCAGGAGATGAAAAATCGCACTAGGAGACGGCAAAACAAGAAATCCTCAAATGAAACAGACAAAATAGAGCTAGTGGAGCTTTGCTGGTAATCAATAGACGTAACTTAGCCGCCGGCAGAAGGTATAACACGGAGGAAATTAAGCAGGATTTAATAAGCGGCAGTAGCCTAAAAGGTTGGAACGCGCACTTCTGCACAGGAAAAAGTCGGATGTATGCATTAAGGAAGAACGCAGGCAATGTCAATAACGCATATCGTTTAGAATTTCATTACACTAACATTAGGCTAAAATTGTTATGGCTATCGTCGTCGGTGGCCATGAACAGCATTTGTGCAGCTGCAAAAAAGAGTTATGGTTTCTTTGCCGCAAACTAAACTTGCAACACCATCCGTTAGGCTGCTTGCATATTTGACCTATACGTAAGGCCAATGTTACAACATGTCAAAGCAGTGTGGGGTCCCTTCCAGTCGCGGTTAATAGATCAAATTAAAAAAAATGCAGAGAGAAGCCGCAATGCTAGTTTTATTGCGTTATTATCAAAATGTCTCAGTTTCCGCAATGCTTTAGTTGCTTGAATTGCATACGCTGGCTACACGCCGGACAGTTGTTCGACCTAAATTTCCTTTTTTGTTATCAAAGCACACCTAAATATTGAAACTAAACCTTTTCTTGTTCCCAGGCTCTCCAGCGACGTCAGATTATGTAATCGGTTTGTGTTTATGGTTTCAAAATGCAATCTAATGGGTACGCGTATTCATTTTTTCCACGTACAATGAAAGAGTGGAATCAGTTTTTAGTATCGATACTGAATTCGATGAGCATAGAAAGGTTTGAAGAGTGCCATAAAAGATGTCGTGAACACAGAGTATTGCTATAGCATTGTACGTACATTGTCATGTTCGAAAATACATCGTGTAATTACTTAATGTAGCATACTTTACCACAATCTCAATATATATGTGCACATTTTCAAAAACAGCGTTTTATAAATATATTTGCTTTGTTCTAAGTAAATGCGTACTTTTCTAGTTCTATCTTCATTATAATACGTTGTACTTGCTTTTGTTTTGTGTTAACATTTACTCCACTCACCCTGTTATGGCTATGACGGGCTCCACTACATGAAAATAAATTATTAAAACAAATATATTTTAAAAAGGCGTTACTTGGCAGCATATCTTTTCTACAGAAGCTTAAATGTTGTACAAAGATTTTTCAACATGTATTAATTTTGAATTTATTTTTAGGATTTCCTCAGACTACCACTCTAGTTGTATCACCTTGTATGCTAAAACATCTATCCCTCAAAAGGGCGAAGTTCTGTTCAACTGCTCTTTTGAACGCAACCTCAAAGCCTGTTGTCTTTTGATCGCCAGCGTTTTTCAAGTTAATGGCGTGCAGCCAGAAGGAGTGGTTTCATGGTGCGGGTTGCCGCATTCATCTGGGACTGAATCCAGGTAGCGTGGGCTGCACCAGCCTGCTGTCACGTTGTGACCGTTTCGCCTGTATACGATAGGCCGTGTCGAAGATATATCTGACACTGTGAAAGCAAACGGCGGTCCGTGCGGACACGTGCATACGTGCCCTTCCCTACATGCGGAAAGTTGTGAAAACAATAATCTCAAACGAGATTGATTTGTCGGCCAACCATGCATGATTACTTTTACTCGCGATAGCGGGAGAGCCAGTGATTCTTCGGTTAGTAAGTTGCATGTATGAAAAAGCTTGTTCATATTTCACTGTGGTCTACAAGATGGTTTAATTAATTGCCATTTGCGGAATACACTTTAAATATAGTGTGCTTTTCCCGCGTCCTTCATGTAACTGTCTGTAGTTTCTTCCGCACTCTCAATACCTTAACAGTCCTGATTGATTCCGTCACTGCATATTTGTGCTCATTCTAGGTTTTTCACGCGTGCAAAACAACGTGAAGAATGGAGAACGCTGGAGCTCAAGTAAGGCATTTATCTCCGCTGAGGTTCGCAGAAGGACAAACCTCGATGTCGCACTTCATGCACATGTGACGAAGGTAGGTAACTACGTAATATCTGTGCTAGCAAATATAACATATATTGAAGGTCTACCTAAAACAGCACATCAAGCCTAGAACCTTTCAGAATAATCAAAGTAAATGCATTAAAAAAAGGAGAGTTGAGCCAGTTGGTACTTGTTCATTCTAAAAATGGCGGGGCATGCAAACACAGACACAAGAAGGAACTCAGGACATCGCGGAAGGCGTTTGTGGGGCCCTGAATACTGTCTTGTATCCGTGTCTACACGCCCTGGATTTTAGAATAAATGCGTTGTTTTCCCGTTGCCATGAAGGAACAAAATCCAAAGCATTCTAAGAGAGCAGTTCTTGCAGGTTATTTTTCAAGGCACAACTGCTGTGGGCGTAGAGTGCAAACGGCACCACAGAAGGTTCATGGTTCGAGCCAGGAGGGAAGTGATTCTTTGCGCTGGAGCTATTGGTTCTGCGCAGCTGCTCATGCTGTCTGGCGTAGGACCGCGGGAACACCTCGAATCATTAGGGGTATGTGGATGGTTCGAATATGTTCTCTGATACGCCTATACTGCTACCCTGAATGCATTGGTCCGAAAGCGAAATCCAAACCGTACCGAAAACTCCTCGAGGTAACTCTAGGCTGTTCAAAATTTAGACGTAAATCTCGAAAAATCAAGCTATAATTCGCCTTAACGTGTTAGCTAAAATGTCTGGCGACAAGCGCAGTTTCAGTTCACGTAATAATGTCTGACGAACTGGCCTTTCAACATTGGCTCCTGGAGTTTATCGCTTTAGGAAAAGTGAAGCATTGTTCTGCAGTTCCTAGAGAATTAGCTTTGAATGCAGCAGCATAATTTGTCTTTTCTTGTTGCTTGTTTATGTGTACATTATTACGTTACAAATACTGTATATAAACAGTTGATATTAAGCGCTTGTCGCATCTTATGTGTTCTAGCTTCATCTTGTTCTTTACGCTTTTGCTGCTCTTACCATATGAAAAGTTGTAAATGGCCATTTGCTATTTTCGATGTGACGAATAGGTTAAATATGTGAATCAGAAAGGTAAGGGAACTTTCTTTCAAGTTCGAAGTTAAAAAATGCATACCCTCTCTTTAAAAACACGTCGTGATTACAATACTCAAAAATATTCCAATGCCCATTTGAATTTAACCTCAGCCACTTTACTAAAAAATGATTCTCTGGCCCATTTTAAGTTTGGTAAAGCGTTAACTCATACACGCGAGAAATTGTTATATATATTGCAGATAAACGTCATCGCCGATCTCCCGGTCGGTGAACATCTCTATGATCACGTGACAGTGAATGGAATCGCCGCAACATCAGCAGAGAACATACAGATAAACTACTATTCGCCGTCTGCTGCTTTTGAGTATGCTCTGTTTGGATCAGGTAAGTAGAAATCATCAGGAGCGTTCGACATTACATTTGTTTGAACGATTTTAAGAGCGAAGCTGTAATCGCTCCTCCAACAGTGTGTGACCGTGCCTGGGTCTGTGCCAGAAGATTTGGACAAATCGCACCTCTCACATCTACAGCATTGCCTGTAAAGACCCTCAAAATGAGAGAATGACTAAAAAGTGAAAAAGAAAAAGAAAAAAGTAGAAATAGAGAGATTTGAAAAAACTGGAAAGATTTTTCTCAATACCGATTCCAACCCGCGTAACCGCAATCCGAAGGCAAGCATCTTATCGACTTGGCTATCCGGCACACTAGCAGCGCATCGCATGAACATGTTGATAACAGTGAGGGGAGGCGTTTGGACGGATCGTTAGTGTTAGGAGGAGAGATGTGATGTGTAGGGGAAGAAATAGGGAAGAAAGTAAAGCGTAGCACAAAAATTAATGACGGAAAGAAAAAAGACACGAAATATCAACAAAATAGTAGACAGAGTGTCACTTTAGGGATCAACCGGCTTATGCGCTGCGCTGTCTATTATATCTCTACGCTGTTTCCGCGTGAGGTATGCGCTTCTTGGAAGCCGTCGGAAAAATTGACGATACTACGAAGGGTGCTGACATAAGTCGTTTTAAGTAAGCTATGACCTGCTGCAAAATGTAAACTTAGTAGCATACCACTCTAGAGAAGATATATGTTACAGCATATTGAATGGCATGTTTCACACAGCCAAAAAACTCGTGAGGTCACTTCAACGAGCTAATCACCACATACATTTATTATTACAAAACACACAGTGATACCAATAAAAGTATGGTGACGCTACTAGTAGTAAATGCAATGTGTTAACAGGAAGAAAGAAAAGTTGACAAAAAGATAATTTGCCACCACGTAGCACTACAACCACGCCCTTCAAAAGACGTGTCTGATGCTCTACCACTCAGCTAGTACCATGGCGCTCATCCCTCCGCCACACTACAGGTTGCATATGTGCATTTTATCGTGGCAGCATTCGCCCGCGCGTCTGTTGCTGTTACGGTGAATGTGCAACACTGTTTTGAATGTGGATGCATTTCTTAGCTGGGCTTTGTCAGGCATCCGGCATTGTCCGTGGCGCCCACTTCGCCCCTCTCACTCTCTCATCTCCCTTCCTCTTCCATAATAGCAACAGTTGAGCACGCGTCCTTATCCTCGCCCCTAGCGACTGGATCATGTGTTCCGAGAGAGTGTAAGAGATTGTAGGTGCAGTGCTTTGCCGCTCCTTCTATCGCCATTCGCTCTCTCACCTCCCTGCACCCCACTTTTTTGTCCGCTCTTGCCTTACCCTCGACCGTTCGCTAGCTGGATGCCTCTAAAAAACAAACGGAAAGGTGGACTCGAGACGCTGCTGTGAAACGTGAACGCCGATCCGAGGACGCTGTTTGTTTTGTTCACTTCATAGTACTTCTTGACTGTGTGCAATAGCTATTAGAGCTGGAAAGGCATACCACGTTTCTCACGACAGAAAAACGCCACGTGCACTGAACGGCACTATTGGCTGCATGGGGTAAGCAAAATAAATATAACGCGGGCCTGAAGTAGGCTACGAAATACATTATCAATTTCTTACGATAATAGATGAAGAAAGGAAGTGTGAACTTAACGGCTCCTTTTTTTGGACACTACAAAATAAAAAATAACTGACGACGAAGCCAAGATAAGCTTAGAGAATGCTATTTAAAGTTTTTGTAATGCAAATCTGAACCTCGCAAAGTGTACGAAACGATAACATGCCACCGGCGAGATGTCAACCGGCAACTTACGAATATCGCGTCTGAGCTGTGGGGGCTGTCATTCCTCCGTCGACTCTATAGGATGTAGATCTGAATTGAAACGAGGGCACCTCCTGCTCTATTGAAGCAAAGATGATGTGAGCGCCGCCTCTTGCCGTTGCTGCGAGGGTGCGTATAGCTGTTGGCATTGCGTAGCAGGCGATCTTATTACAAGCTAGCAGCTGAACAATTATCCCTTACATACTACCTGAAGGCAACACGTCGGCCAGAATGAAACCATTGCTATGAAAGAAGGAACGAAGTATGAATATAACGACTAGTTTTGTTGGTATACTTTCCTTGACATCGTTGTCTGTTAGATCCCTTACATTGAGTCTAAAAAAGACAGCCATTTCAAAATATTCTTCTTTCCTTCACTTACAATGTAGCGTAGTTTATGCCTAATGCAAGCTATTGTACTTTAATCTCTCGAAAACATTTCGCAAGAATTCATATTTTTGTGCATTCACAATTATGTGAGGGGCACATTATCTTATCACAACTTCAGAATTAACCTGTGCGCCTTCTCAAACGTATTTACCTATTTTTATACTTCAACATTCTTACTGCTCGCATATCGGACTGACGCGTTTATTCCTCAAATTTGAATAGTCATTTCAGAGCAGAACAAATAGAATAACATAGGGAATCTCTGTGCTGCATTCGTAATGTCCACTATTTTCAGAATCTGTGCGAAGACTTGTCTCTCTGTGGAAGCGTTTCTCTTCTTTTGTGCTCTTAGGAAACTAGGCTAAATTCTTCGAAACGTTTCGCGTTCTACACTTTCCTGCAATAGATTTATAAGAAAAATGTAAAAAAAGGTGAAAGCAGGTTGGATTCTCTGAAACACATGAATATGAAGTAAAACGTCGCAATCTCAGTTATGCATCATATATACAATTAGCGGCGAGACTTGTCAATTGATATAGGGGAACTTAACTTGCAGTTGAGCTTGCATTTATTTAAAAAAAATTGCACCATTCAGCCATTCAAGCAAACGTCGGATAACTTATGAGTCACTTTACTTGGGCTAAGATTTTGATCGAATCGTGAGACCGAGTGATTATCGATTTGATGAATTTGAGTGAGTAACCTTGCAGAAAATTTAGCAGATTGTGAGTCCTGGTGATTCTGCCTACAAAAACTTCGACTAATCTAAATCCGACTGAATTCTAAGCGGGAAGTGTATTTCGAGACGGTCTCTAAGCGAGGTACACACTTTTTACCGACCTATGCCCAAAAGCAAAAAAAAAAAAAATCACTTAGATGCGCTGCTACCTCCCGGCTGATGACACCTTACGTATTGCAATTGACACTTCTTGCATCTTTCTGTCGTTCTTATAAAGATCAATTGGGGCAAATACTGCAAGTACTCCAACTTCACGTAAACTTGCCCTTTACGACAAATATGTTGTTTTTTCTGCAGTTTTATCAGTCATTATTATTTAGCTATTACATCTATATAACAGTGCTTTTACATATTCTTATTTACGTGGTTCAGCAAACGGAGTTTACGAATCGATGAAGAAGCTTCATTGAGATAGTGTATGTGAGCCTAAGTCAAGAAAAAGTAGCAGTATTGTTCACATGTGCGAAGACACCTAATAATTGTACTTTCTTTTTCAGGCCCACTAAGCCATGCTTATGGCGTCGAATGTGTTGCTTTCTTAAGTACGCCGGGCAGTGATGCCACGATTCCAAATATTCAGTTTCTGCTTGTCAGTCTCAATCCTACGACAATTGAAGCGGGGTATCTGGCCAGTCAAATAGGAGTTTCACAGGTAAGCTTTTTTGTTTCCATGAATTACTTTTAAGCAATTCACTTCTTAAAACAGCTCTAATATGTGTCTGAAATACGAAGGGCTTAGCATAATTTGCAAGTTTTGAGTACTCGCGGTTGACAAACAACAACTAATAACAATTAGTACAAAAGTGGTCGAACACTACGCTTGCACCAATGTTTAAAAACGTCAAAAAGATTTGTGCTTAATGCGCCCTTCTTAGTGCATCCTACGCGATAATCTAGAGTTCTTATTTGTCTTCACGGAGTCTTCTAGTATGGCGTGCCTCAAAATCATATCGCGGTTTTGGTTAACAAAGCGTTGGATAGTACATTGCAGCATATGTAGACCAAATGATAGATATTGTCACGTTCTACAAAATGTCTTCAACTCGGAAGAACTGAGCCGGTGGAAAGACGCACTGAAATCTGCCAAGATGGCCGTTTCAATAATCAACAACTAACTAGACCGCAAGCTGCCCTAGAACATCGTCTTCCATTCTAGCGGGTAGCCATGGCTTGCACTCGCCGTACCTAGCGGCCAAGTGGCACTATTCCCCCTCTGAAAAAAAAAAACGGACATCACTGTGATGCTCAGAAAGTACAAAGGCAAAGTCGGGGCGAACTAACAGAAAATACACGCATACAAAAAAATAGCAATAAGGTTCATATGCAGTCGCGCTACCACGTGAAGTACGGCTTCAGTCGCACTACGTGCATAATCTCCGAGGAGTGCCTTCGCTGTTGTGGCAAGAAGGCGCCATCAGGGAGTATCTCGTAGTTCACATCGCTCACGCGCTGCAACACTATGTACGGTCCGAAGTAGTGACTGAGCAGTTTTTTTCTGGCAATCCCTGGCGTCGGACTGGAGTCCACACCCAAACTTGATCCCCTGGATGATATTCAACTTATCGATGGCAAGCCTTGTAGCGGCATGCGTCAGTACTTTGATGCTGCGTAATGTGTAGGCGTGCTAACTGGCGGGCTTTTTCGGCGTACTGGGTAAGCTGCACAGCGTCAGGAGTGATCAAAGCGTCAGAATTGTGTGGAAGCATCGCATTCAGCATGGTCTGTACCTCACGTCCATAGACAAGACGGAAAGGCGTGAATCGCGTAGTTTCCTGGACGGCAGTATTGTACGCAAATGAGACGTATGATAGCACCTGGTACCAGGTTTTACACTGAATATCTACGCACACATATAACATGTCAGCGATGGTCTTGTTGAGTCGCTCTGTCAAGCCGTTGCTCTGCGGATGATATGCCGTGGTCTTGCGATGGCTCGTGTAGCTGAGATTGAATACGTCATGAATGAGGTGGACCGTGAATGCTGTTCCTCTGTCTGTGATTACGCACGATGGGGCACCACGTCGAAGAACGATCTGGTTCATAAAGAATTCGGTAACGTCAGATGCAGTAGCGCGTTGTAGTGCCTTTGTTTTGGCGTACTTCATCAAATAGTCGGTGGCTATTACGATCCTCTTATTGCCGGCAGATGATAGCGGAAAAGGCCCCAGTAAATCCATTCCTCTTTGATTGAATTGCGCTCTAGATGGTTCTATTGGTTGAAGAAGCCCCGCGGGCTTCAGTGGCGGCGATTCGCAGCGTTGGCATTTCAGAGCTTTTCACGTATCGCTTAACGGATGCGGAAAGCTTAGGCCAGTAGTACTCTAGTCTAACTCGAGCGAGAGTTTGAGAGGAACCTAAGTGACCAGATGTGGGCTCATCGTGGCAGGCGGGAAGAATGTCGTCAGGCATGTCAGTTGGCACAACTAGAAGATAGGCTCTCTCATTGTTGTAGGTGTTTTTTTTTTCATACAGGACCCCATCTCACAGACAGAATGATGACAGACCTCGAGACATACATCGAGGTATGGAAGAAATCGTCCTTCAAGGTTTTAGAAAACTGCACGAATTTCATCGTCCGCGCGCTGTCGTGTAATTAGATCCGTTGTAGTAAGGGCCCCAAAAAAACAACCGTCATCTTCGCTGTCGTGACCACAAACTTCAACAGGTGCATTGGACAATGAATCAGCATCTTCGTGCTTGCGACCCGATTTGTAAGCGATGGTGAAATCGTACTGCCGCAGACGAAGACTGCATCGTGCCAGTCGCCCACACGGGTCCCGTAGGTTGGCTCACCAGCACAATGAATGATGGTTGGTCACTACCTTGAAGTAGCGTCCATAAAGGTAAGGCCTAAATTTCATCGTGGCCCATAGAACAGTGAGGCCCTCTTTCTCTGACGTGGAGTAGTTGACCTCAGCGCTGGAAAGAGAGTGGCTAGCGTACGCTATTATTCGCTCTGTGCCCTTTTGGTGTTGGACGAGGACAAAACCAAGACCCACGTTGCTGGCGTCAGTATTAATTTCAGTATAAGCGTCTTGGTTAAAGTGAGCGACGACTGGTGGTGTCTGCAAACGCTCCCGTACTTCAGAGAAAGCTGCGTCCTGTTTTTCCTCCCAGAAGAATGAAACATCTTCAAGAGTGAGTTGAGTGAGCGGTTCAGCAATCCTAGAAAAATTGGCTGTAAAGTGGCGATAGTAGGCGCATAGCGCTAGAAAGCGAAGTACTACTTTTTTATCAAGTGGAACAGGAAACGATGCCACGGCGGTAGTTTTCTCAGGGTCTGGTCGAATACCATCCGCACTGACAACGTGGCCGAGAAAATTAAGTTCATTGTAACCGAGGTGGAATTTTTCTGGCTTCAGTGTCAGGTTAGCAGAGCGGAGTGCTTCCAGCACATTCCGCAGACGCTTCAGGTGCTATTCAAAGTTCGTAGAAAACATGACAACATCATCCACATAAACTATGCACGTGTGCCACAACTTTAGACTGGTAAAAACAGTGTCCATCAATCTCTGGAATGTCGCAGGTGCAGAACAGAGGCCAAGGGGAAGCACTTTGTATTCATATAGACCATCTGGTTTAACGAAGGCGGTTTTTTCATGATGTCGTTCATCAACTTCGATCTACCAATAGCCACTTGTCAAGTCTATCGATGAAAAATACTTTGGAGGGAGTCGTCTATTCGGGGCAGCGGATAGACGTCTTTTCAATCACGTTCTTAAGTTTTGTGTAGTCCACGCAGAAGCGCAGTTATCTGTAATTTTTCTTTACGAGCATGACCGGAGATGACCAGGCACTCTTCCAAAGCTGGATAACGTCATCTTGCAACATCTCTTCGACTTGGCAGTTACCACGTCACGTACCCTTACCGAAACGGGGTAAGGGTGTTGTTTTATGGGCGAGGAGTCGGTATATGTATTATTCGGTGTTTGGTGATCGGGGTCTGACGAAACTTCGAGGTGGGCGCGTTGCACTCTTTCAATTGATATAGCAGTTCACGTAGCTTGGTCTGTTGTTGTTCCGAGAGGGTTCAGTTGTCAGCAACTTTTGCAAGTAGTGTAGTCACGTCGCTTGGTGTTGGTCGAAGCCCGTGATCGGCTGATGTAGATGCGAAGCATTAAGAAACGTCTGCGATAGGGTAGGGAAAGCGTTGGCGGTGTCAAGAAACAGGTGCCGGTACCCGTTACTGAATTCAGTCACAAGTAAGGCACACTGTTCGTCATAAAGCGTGACGAGGCTGCGTGCCGCGCAGACACCTAGCGCAAACAAAAGCGCCAAGTTGCTTTCGGTGACAACCTCACCATCCTGTTACCTGTCGGACACTACGTCAACTAGACGCTTGAACGCGAGGGCAACGTAATGGTGTCGGCAGAAATGCGAAATGTGCTGTCATGGATGTCGTCAGAGTTGTCGCAGGATCCAGCTGTCGGAAACGTCATGGTACGCTCTCGAAGATCGATAATAGCGCCGTGCTCCTTCAAGAAGTCCACTCCCAGGATTAGGTCTCGGAGACATTCACGAAGCATTAGGCAGCTGGCGAGAAAACGTACGTCCTCGAATGCTCACTCTGATAGTACACATGCCAATTGGGGTGACTACGGGCCCGCCAGAAGTACGAATTTGTGCTTCATACCAAGACGTAACAACTTTCTTTATGTGCACTGCTAGTTTTCCACTCATTATCGAATAGTCCGCCCATGTGCCCAATAATGCACTAACGTCGTGGTGACCGTCGACTACCACATGTATATCCAAAGCAAATCTGCTTCTGACTTTCGTCACTCTCGTCGGGGAATCGTTCCGGGTCCGTGCACGGGTTGGTGGGAGGCGTTACTTGCGTCAAGTGTCAGCGGCCTCACTCCCTGAGGTCGCTGTCGTAAGTTTTCACGCCTAGGGCTTGGCGAGCGTGCCGGCGCCACCCCTAGGAGGCTCCGAAAATTTGGAAAACATCGCCTTGGGGGTGGGGAAAGTGAGTGCCGCCGCAGTGGCATGCGCTGTTGTGAAAGGTAACCTTCATTGGCTTTTGGTCTTTCGCCGAATCTCAGCTGTGGCGAGCCGACGGCAAAGCCCTGGTGTCCGAGGCGACGATGGGGACATTCCCGGTACACATGTCCTGCTTCACCACAGTGATAACACAGTAGTCGTCTTTCCGGTGTGCACCATACGTCATAGTTTCTGAGAAGCAGTTGTCGATTTTTGAAGTGCTAAATTGGCTGCGGCGAAGGAAGTGCATCCTTAAGCATATGATTAACGAAGCGCAGAGAATCAGGAATATATCGACTGGCAGCTTCTGCGTATGACGCACGGTGTGGCTCCGTCAGAACAGGCTGGACATAACTGGAAGGCGGCACTTGAAGAGCCTGTCGTACTTCGTTTTTGACGAGGCTTCAAATTGACCCTGCAATAGGTTGGGACTGGCACTTAATTGTTTGTAGTTCGTCGCGGACCACTGATCGAATTAGGTCGCAGAGAGACTTGGTGTTGTTGCTGCTTTCTGCACATTCAATCGAACCTACTGACGAAGCGACACTCACTTGCCGGTCGTACACAGTAGAGTGCTGCTTTAGGACTTGTTCCATGGTTAAGACTTCAGTCGAAAATTCCGCCATGGTCTTTGGGGCACCGCGAACTAGGCCAGCGAAAAGCTGCTGT